GAAATTTATTTCTGCCAGAGAGCTTGGTGGTGTGAAGAAGCAGTAAGGGAGGTAGGTAACAGGAAGGTGACTGCAAGTGCATCTCCTTCATAGCAGTTTCTATGGTCTCTCATCTCTCCTTCTCACTGATGTGGCAGCAGCAGTCGATTTAGCTTAGTTTAGCCTGTGGACAGGAGTAAGAAGATGCACTAGTTACTGCTTGTTTTGCTAGGGAACTGGTATTGGGTATAAGCATATATGGAGCCAGGAGGACCCTGCTGATCAGTGCATCAGAGTGACTTTTAGGCAGCCATAAAGAAATAAACCTAAGAAAGAAACTTTCCATCTGTGAACAGAAAAAAATTGCAGTTTCACACTCCCAGTCTGACATACAAGCTTCATGGTCAGGAACAGTGACTGGGAGGAGTTAATACACTTCTTGGAGATCTTTCCTCCTCACTCCACAAATTCAACAAAGCTTTACTTAAGCCAGTAGGTTGCACATTTCTTTCAGTGAATACCACGATATCTCTTGCTTGTATTTCTGGCTTTTCCAGCACCATTCACCAAAGTGTTCTGGGTTTTAGAATATTTAGCAGGCTGGCTGCAGGTTATTTGTTTCTCCATGTCCATCCTCTGCACAGCATGCCAGTGCTGTATTACAATAATTCTTTTACAGATACTGAAATATCTTGGTTTAATTTTCTCTTTTTTTGCCTTTTCTGATTTTTTTCTTAAAAAATTGTTCATGCCGTTTGTATTTTAGCTTGTTTTTTTATAAGCATTTTTGGTGCATGCAGTCAAGCATGCTGCAAACAGACCTGCCTCTGTTGTACATGACACTGTCATAATGTTTTTCAGCTAAAGCTCTGGAAAAAAAGTACCGAAATACTGTGATATAAAACGCAACTTGCAGCAGTGAGGCGAACTGGTGGTCCTAGCAGAGAACATCAGGTTTAGAAGAGTGGAGAGAAGTGTGAACAAGATTATGAAGGGGCAAGGGCAGAGCAAAGCTTGAGAGGAGGCTTACAGAGCAAAGAATTGGAATAATATGTATCAAATCCCCAAGAGTCGAAGATAGGAGAAATAGTGCAGCATAAACAGGAGGAGAGATAAATCACAACCATCAAATCACAAAGGAAGCAACACGACAGTAAGATATGAAAAGGGGTACTAGTGCCCTCCATATAAAAGTAAAACTTTTCAATTGATATTGATGAGTTAGGAGTGGAAGTCAGTCTGGACTAAATGGGCAGAGGGCAGGGGTGATAAGAATTCAAAGGCAAAAGTACTGTTTTGGTTTTAACACCTCACAGTTTGAGGATACTTGTAATAAGCATTTGCCTAAGTCCTGTATTGCCAAATATGTCAAGTCACTTGGGGAAAAGAGGTGTTACTTGGAGTGAAACAGAAACTAAGGTACAGTTTTCATAGTTGCAGGGTCTAGTGAATCGTGCAATTTGTGAAGGAATTACAAGTTTTCGATAACCATTATTAAAGAAAAGTCTAACACATTCTGATAAATGAATTCTAAACAAATAATTCTGAAGTGGTTATTTTTACTCTGGTTTCCTGGGGAAACAAGGCTCATAGGAGTGTGCTGTTTTGCTTGTCAGTCTTTTCCTCTACTAGTAACATTTGAACCTGATCGCCAGTTTGAAGTCACTTGGAAAGAAGTGGAAGGTCAAACATACCTTCCAATAGGCTTTAAAATCAGTGGCAGGGTGGAGGAGCAACCAAATTAGTATGCTTGAGGCAAGCAGGACATTGCCATTATATTGACAATCCACACATCCTTCCCAACTACTGGCATAGCATTGCTCTCTCTTGCTCTGCATCCTGAGGAACATGGGAAGAGAGCAGAGACCAGCGTGTGGGAGGAGGGTTAGGGTGAAGATGCAGCTCCTGAACAGTGAACGAGGGTCCATTATTTTCTTGTTTCTGATTGTATGTTTTTTACAATTTAATTTTCTAACTGCTTTTACCTGGGAGTTCCTGAAGAGCATAGGTTTTATTTCATCTATACCATTAAGCAAGCCCAAGGGATTAAAATGTTTCTGCTGTTTTTTAAATGTTTGATAGATTTGAGGTCTGAAGATAGTTTTATCTTTAATGAAATGGCATACTATTTGAACTATTATCAGTTTGAATGCTTCTAGAGTTTAATTAGCAATCCATGAGCATTGCTGTGAAACAGTCTTACTTCTGTTCCCTAATTAGAGATTAATTGCTTGTATGCTATGTTTGTTCCGTATGCATATAATGTGTATAGTCTGTGAGAGTTACTTTAACCTTCTTTGTTGTTTCCTTATTTTCTTAAAATATACTAAGGGATTCACCAAAATACAATATTAAATCCATACTCTTTAATAAATCAGTTAGCAGGTGGGATTTTTCAATGGCATCGGTAGCCATATCTCAAGTACCCTAAAATCCCTATTTATTTCCCTTAATAGAGGCTCAGGCTCTAAATTTGAAGATCCCCTGTTACCTAGTCCTACAGAATTCCAACCAGAAAAATGTTACTCTTGCCAAACCAGAAAAGATATTTGGAATTCTGTGAAAGATCCTATTTTAGTTAAATCTCAGATGCTAGCACTGATACCTACAAAAAAAAAAAAAAAAGTTTCACTATAAGTCCAAAAATCTTGTAGGCAAATAGAAGAGAGCTTAAAAGAGAACAATCATGATCATGTTTGTGTGTAAATATATACATTTAGTGTGTTCTTTGGGAGAGGTAGCATTGAAAAACTAGTCTGGATTGTCTATGTCACTTGCCAAAGGCAAATTAGTAAGTATACTCAATGTTACACTGAAAATACATAACTACAATATGTATCCATCCATAATTTATAAAAAGAAGTAAAAATGAGTGGGAACTTTAATGAAAAATGTGCGCTTTTTTTGGCTTTATTTAAACCTCTAGTAATGATTTGAAGCAGTTGTACCCTTTTGGAATGTGAGTGCTCCAAGGCAGAACTATCCAGGTTACGCAAACTTCATTTCTGTCATATGATTTTAATAGATAGTATGGAAGATCTTTCAAAACAGTAAATGTCTAGATTATTTTTAGGAGGAGGAGTCGTTTTTCGTGGAAGGGCATACATTTCCAGTATATGGAAGTCTGATTTTAATTCATATATCCTCAAAATACCTATAAGCACATACATTATGTTATCCTTTCATATAGTTTTGTTCAGAAACCTATTTTGGCTCACCTTCATTCACATTTTGTCTTTATAGAATCTTTTGTGTATACATTTATGAATGATTTTAATATCACAGATTTTCAAAGCTATATGTATACAATTAATGAATTCTCTTTAATATGAGTTTACTTTGTTTCCCTGCATGTTTGATTCTGAACATGAGACTTGTCTGTCTTTTATAGTTTTCTTTTTATATTTGTTTTAGGATTATGTGCTAAAGTGAGGTGATTAACAGCAAAGATTTATTAAAGTTTGATTGTTATGACTGTGAATAGGAGATTGTCTCATTTTGGGCAGATGATAACCAAGCTGATCAAACTCCTCAGCTCTCAGAGGCTGGTAAATAGGCGTTGCATCAACTGACATGTCAGTTTGGCCATCTAATCAGGCAGACAAGCAGTAACTGTGAATGTGAAGCTGCTGATTAACTGTTTTTACAGCAGAAGTTTCAGTCCACCTCACTGTCTGCTTACCTAGCCCAAAATTTTCTCAGTAACAATTTTATGGGAGACAGTGTTGAAAACCATGGTAAAGTCAAGGTAAATGTTACTGCTTTTCCCTAATCCACTCAGCTGGTCATCTCACTGTAGAAAGCTATCAGGTTGGTTAAGAACGGTTTCCCCTTAATAAATCCATGCTGGATTGCCATCTTGCCTTTCGTGTGTTTGGAAGTGATTTCCAGGAGGATTCATCCTATGCAAACTTGTAAATGGTGGGCAAGTATTTTTATTCTCATATATATATATATATATATATATATATATATATACATGCATGCGTCTGTATGTGTGTATACATATGTGAGCTGGCTAGATTGTTAAAAGGATGCGGTGGTCTGCTTTTGAGTGTTTAAGACACAGTAGTTATTCTTAGACATACAAATTTGGGTCAGAGTATCCTTTTGTCGGTTAAAAATACTCATTTACAAAGAGATACTAAGTATTGATATTTTAGGGGTATATGTTTATATAAAAATGTTATAGTCATATTTAATGTGTATTACTTTTTTTTTTTTGAAAGAACTCCAGTACATTTATATATAGAAATCATAATTTCTTCTATTAGTGTTTTACAAAATAATGTTGTGTTTACTTTGTAGAGCAGTATGTTTCATTACATAATAGCTATACGTTTCCATGTCAGGGAACAAAGAAAACAGCTTTTATTGTTTTTAATAGAAAAATCTGTGGCCAAAAAAACCCCACTACTAATATAATTCTCATGTAAGTTCACATCACTCCTCATGTGGTTCAGGAGGAATGCCTTGGTTACAGTTTGTTAAACAACAATATGAAAGTGAATTGTTTGAATTTGAAAATACAGTGTATCTTCTGTCTCTTAGCATTTAATCAACTTTATTTGTGATAACTCTATTGACAGAATACTATAGCTCCTAGCTTGCCCATGTGTTTGAATTTCAAAGAATTTGTTCATTTGTCTACCTGTGACAAACAGAATTACTGTATATGCAGGGTAGTCACCCATTTTCTATGACAGCAGATGGGCATGATGACAGCTAATGCTGAAACCTGCCTCCTAGGGAATTCACAGGTTTGGAGAAGTTTGTTCATATGACAGTTTCCTGTGGTGCTAATCTTTTGAGAAACAAAAGTTTCTAGGTAGTGGGTATGGGTTTCTCATAGATACCATATGTATTTAATTAGTAGAGTTTTAAACTGTCTAAAAAGTGGATTTTGACCTTTTTTCTTAAAAATTTTAATATGTAAATCCCATTTCTATTTAAGAAAACCTGGAGTATAAAAGCTGGAGATGTCTTTTTGAAAATTTAAATTTACTGTTCTCTCTCTTTAGTTTCAGGCACTGTATGCTGTATCACACACACTGGCTTTGCTAGGAAGGAACAACATACTAAGAAATTCTTTAATATCTCTTCTACTATCAGAAGTACGTCAATTTGCTGAGCACCTATTGCAAGCTCACCAGGTACTGTCATGTTTTCTTTTGGAGAAGGGCCAGAGTGTGGTGTTGGGTAGTGTTTTGTCTGTATCTGTTTGTTTCATAAAACGTAGTAAGTGGATCACTCTATAGAATATGCAGGTTTAAGAATCCACAAAATGCTAACACCTAACTTTAACAGCAGATTAAAAAAAAGAATATAAAGTAAAAGAAAATTTCCTTATGGACAAAAGTAAAATTATCAGACTTAATAACTAGACTGTATTTATTTTTTTAATGTTTTAAGATCACACTATATAGTTTGGAAAATATTTGAAATATTTAGTTAAAACAATTACTGCAACATGTAAACTGTTGGCTATGCAGGCAATACAATTTAGTGATCCAGGTGGACCTCCAAAGAATTATGTCTATCTAGCTCATGTAAAACTGGAAAGAAAGTTGCAATATTTTATTTCAGAATTCAATTTCATTTTTCACATTATAATGCTGATTTTCATGATGCAAAAGTTATCCAACAATTAAATTTGTGTTTAGTTTTTTGCAGTGAGGAGCAGAATCAGAAAAGCAGAATAAAATGGAAATAATCTTTTTGGTAAAATTTATTCTTAGGTTAAATTTTTGCAGTAAACCATAGAGTTTAAAAAAAAAGTAAATGGATGTTCCTTTAACATTTGGAGAAGAGATGTATGAAATAAATTGGATTTTCATGGATTTTTTGTGTATTTGTGTGTGGTGGTATGTATTTAATGCAGACTGTTCAGTTTTGCTTGGGATTATGACTTTGTACACCGTCCTAGGAGGGTCAGTAAAAAGCGTGCAGCATTTTGGTGACAGATAAAGTTATTGATAGATATAGAAAACATTCATCATAGGTATATCTAGTGGTGGTACAGTTAAAACAATGTTTTAAGTGTTGCTCAAGCAGTCTTAACTTTATTCTTTTTCTCTCTAGGGTATTGGAGTAAATTCTGACTGCTGGAGAGGGGACATGTAATTGCCAACCCAAATTTCTAGTATATTTGAATTACATCTGAAAAGGCTCCAGAAAGGCCAGTTTTGAAAGAACTGGACAATGAGCTGTGTCTCATTAAATCACCAGTAGCATACCAGAGTTATTGATGGCAGCCAAAAGCAAACAGACTTTAAACAAATGTAAGGATAAGGAAGTGTGCAATTAGGAAAAAGTTTTGGTTTTTAAGTTTAAACAAGTTGCTTATTTTTAACATTATTAAATCTCACCTGTTTAACAGAATTAGTCACCTTTCCTTTAAGCAGAGTTTTTGCCAGAACTCTTCAGTACTCCACACTGATTGAAAGCTTACACTGAGCATTGCACATTGCTGAGTTAGGTACTATGATACTATGGTACTACTTAACTTTGCCATACTGTAATTATTTTAAGTATTGATATCCTATTTGGTACATAACATTTATTTCTAAAAAGTTCTAAAAGCAGTTTGACTCCTCTTTGGCTTCACTTTATGTTGGAAAGAACCATATATTTGGTTTTAAAATCATAATAAAAGAGATTACAAAACTGTGTAATTTGCAGTTGAGAAAATGGAAGTGGATTAGTATCATATGGTTTTAACTGTAATAGATTCTCTTTAACTACACAAGTGATTTTGATTTTTCAAATGGCAAATTATTTTATAACTGGCAGTGCAATTTCTTTATCTTTGGGAAGGTAGTTGAAGATTTGATTCCTATATAATTGTTCAGAAGTTGGTAATTTAATCCCTGAACAATTCTTATAACACAACTGGTATAATAAATTGCTTAATTTAGTCTCACTAGAGTAGTTTGATACCCTTAGTTGATGGTACAGCATGTTTGGGTTTTTTTTTATAGCTTGGAAAGCTATCACTCTGCTTGATTTGTATTTTAATCCCCCCGCACCCTGCCCTGTCAAAAACCATAAACATTCAACTGTACTTTCTGGAGCAACTGAAGAAAGTTTTATCTAGCACTGAAGGGAAGGTGCCTGTAGAGTGGGAGGCAATTTCCAGGGAGGCAGACAGAAACTTGTACTCATGTGCTGAAAAGGAAAAAAAAAAAAAGATCTTTCTGATCTTGTTAATTTATTCTGTTTCTTCATATTTAGTTTATGTTGACTGAAATTTGGGATGGTAAAATGCATTTGTTAAATGACCTTTGCAGCTTCAGGACCCACCAAATCCTTTTCCAGGTTAAGTGTTTGCTACCTGTTACCTGCAGATATCATCTTGAATTACAAACCTTTATACATTCTGTATGTGATAATTATTTCTGGAAATACTCCTTAACAAAATCCTTTCTACTTAACGGAATAGGACACTAAACTCTAGTATTTCTGACATCCTGATTTACAGACCTGCTTCAGAGTGTTTCAGACTTTGTGTATCACTGGTTTTGGTAGGCATGATTCTAGATAGGATTAAAATATTTCTTGGTTTATAATCAAAACTACCAATACGGTATCAGTTTTAAATATAGTAAATGACAGCTTTAAAAAGATTCTTCATAAATACTTAAATTAGAATTTCCAAAAGGATAATACTTCAAATAATCAAACTATATTAGACAACAGGTATTCTAATCATGTATTGTTACTTAAGCAAAACTGCTGTTAATTGCAAAGGCGTTTCATGTCTTTCACTTAAGACAATTAAATTAGGGAGTCTGAACTTTAGTTATGATTAAAGATGTGCAAATACCTGTTTTCTTTTTGGTTTTTGTTGATTTTTTTTGTTATTGTTGGCAGATAGGAGAAATAAAGAAATGATCTGAGGCAGGGTTAGACTGCAATTACCTTTTTTAACATTTGGTAAAAAACAGAAATCAAAAACATACCTTATTCATCCAAGCAAATTTCTGTGTTTTATTTCTGTATAATTTTTATAAAAATCTGAATATATTTTCCAACACTAACTTGGATTGGAAAAAAAATTCCTTTTACTTTTTCTAAATGAATCATCTAGATACGAGTCATTTAGGATCACCTCCTCCAAATTGGGAAGGGATGCCTCCTGACAAAGATAGGACAAGACAGGTAAGAACACCAGGAGGGCTGCATGGATAAACAAGGAGCTCCTGGGCAATCTCAAACACAAAAAGGAAGCCTAGAGAGGGTGAAAGCAAGGACAGGTAGCATGGGAGAAATATAGAGAAATTGTCCAAGCAGCCAGGGATCAGGTTACGAAGGCCAGAGTCCTGATAGAATTAAATCTGTCAAGGAATGTCAAGGACAACAAGAAAAACTTCTGCAGTACATCAGTGAGAAAAGGAAGACTAGAGAAAATGTGAGCCTTCTCTGGAAGGAAACGGAAGACCTGGTTACCCACAATATGGAGAAGGCCAAGATACTCAGTGACTTTGTTGCCTCATCAGAAAGTGCTCTAGCCACACCACCCAAGACGCAGAAGGCAAAGACAGATTCTGGGAGAATGGAAAACCGCCTACTGTAGGAGAGGATAAGGTTCAAGACCATCTAAGGAAACTGAAGGTGCACAAGTCCATGGGACCTGATGAGATGCATCCACAGGTCCTGATGGAACTGCTGTTTGAATTGGCTAAGCCACTATTCATCATACCTGAGAAGTCATGGCACTCAGGTGAAGTTCCCGCTGACTGGACAAGGGGAAACATTACCCCCATTTAAAAAAGGGTTAAAAGAAGACCTGGAGAACTACAGGCCAGTCAGTCTCATCTCTGTGCCTGGCAAGATCCTGGAGCAGATGCCCCTGGAAATTATCCTAGGGCACATGGAGAATAAGGAGGTGATTGGTGACAGCCACCATGGCTTCACTAAAGGCAAATCATGCCTGACAAATTTGGTGGCCTTCTACAGTGGGGTTACAGCGTTGGTGGATAAGGGAACAGCAACTGACATCATCTACCTGGGACTTGTGCAAAGCATTTGACACTGTCCTGCACGACATCCTTGTCTCTAAATTGGAGAAACATGGATCTGATGGATGGACCACTTGGTGGATAAGGAATTAGCTGGATGGTCACACTCAAAAAGTCGTGGTCAAGAGCTCAATGTCCAAGTGGACAGCCGTGACAAGTGCCATTCCTCAGGGACCGGTGCTATTTAACATCTTTGTTGGAGACACAGACAGTGGGATTGAGTGCACCCTCAGCAAGTTTGCTGACGACACCAAGCTGTCTGGTATGGTCAACACACTGGAGGGAAGGGATGTCATCCAGAAGGACCTGGATAGGCTGGAGAGGTGGGTCTGTGCAAACCTCATTAAGTTCACCAAGGCCAAGTGCAAGGTCCTGCACATGGGTAGGGGCAGTCCCAAGAACAAATACAGGTTGGGTGATGAGTAGATTGAGAGCAGCTCTGCAGGGAAGGACTTGGGGGTATTAGTGGATGGAATATCTTAATGGCTCAGGGGCAGGCTGTTCCCAGGTGCTGTAAGAGAAGCCGGGTGCCAGAGAAGACCACCTTGGCTAAACAGGGAGCTTCAGCTGCAGCTCAGCAAGAAAAGGAGAATTTATGGCCTTCGGAAGAAGGGGCTAGCCACACACAGTTATTACAAAGATGCTGTGAAGCTATGCAGGACAGAAATCAGGAGGTCTAAAGCCCAGCTAGAAATTAGTCTGGCTTCAGCAATCAAGAATAACAAGAAATGTTTCTAAAAGTATGTCAACAGTAAACGAAAGGCCAGGGATAACCTCCATCCCCTGCTAGAAGCAGGAGAAAACATGGTAACAAGTGATGAGGAAAAGGCTGAGGTCCTTAACACCTTTTTTATCTCAGTCTTTAATAACAAGATTAGTTTTACTGAGGGAATCCAGCCTCCTCAGCCAGAAGACAGAGACTGGGAGAACAACCCTCCCTCAATCCAGGAGGAGACAGTCAGTGACCTGCTGCATCACACAGACACGCACAAGTCTATTGGACCAGATGGGATACACCCCAGGCTGCTGAAGGAGCTGGCTGGGGTGCTCGCCAAGCCGCTTTCCATCATTTACCAGCAGTCCTGGCTGACTGGGGAGGTCCCGACAGATTGGAAGTTGGCAGTGTAATGCCC